TGAATTAAATACTTTATAAACCCTGTGGGGTTATAAGGCCTGTCAAGTTCATGAACTCACCCTAGACAAAGTACACATACCTCACTGCTGATCATCACCACGGTCACCAGATGGCCACGGGCAGCACTTCAGGGGTGCTCATGGTGACATTCAGCAGGGAGGGACATGCACTTTGTCCGGGAGGAGTTTCCAGACTTAATTCTCAGACCTCTTATTTAAAATCCTCCCCCCCAGAGCAGACTCGGGGATGCTCACGTTATCTCTGCAGAATTTTGTTTCACAAGTAGCAAGTCCAGAGAACATTTTCCTTGAGGTTTTTAAAAGAGTGATTGAGGTAACTCCTTTAATCTCAGGAATCAGATTTACCAGGAAAAAAGAGTTATGGCTCACCACAAATCTCTGCCCAACCTTGTCAAATCTCTAATAATCGTAAATAGCTATCTGCACTTGACCAAAATGACTCACTAATAATAAATCACCTTATTGTCTGTATTCTTCAATGTTTCTTATATAAAAACTCACAGCATAGATTTCTGGCTGCATTGAGAGCTAGGGCTTTTTTCTCTCCTAATGGTTAGACAAAGACGACGACAGACAGACCTCTGTACCCCTCAACTGTTTCTTGATTCTACGTTTAGCACTAAGTTCTATATTCTCATCTAGAGAATAGTTTAATATAAATAATTTTCTGGTATGGAAGTCTCCTTACCCTTTCACTTATTCATTCTTGAATCTTATTTTTTTCCTTTAATTTTAGAGGTTTTTTTATTTACTGCTTGGGCTATTTTAATGGAAGCTGCTATTCTCTTCTCTTTGGCTGTAGGTAGCATATAAGTACAGTGTTTGGAATTTTCTAAAATAGTCCTAATCTGAAATATATTCCCTATAGTTCGCTAAAGCCAAAAGCCACCGTAGTTTCCAGTGTGGTGATAAAATATTCCCAGACATTTGACATTCAGCAGCTCCACTGAACCGATGGGTTGGACTCTGAACTTGACATCATTTATAATAATCACTTCTTTCCAACCCTGTTTCCCCTTTCCTGCAGCCCCTTCTATTACAGAGTGGGAAGCCACCTCAGTCCATGGGGGATTTTAAGCACCATGGGAGTAATTTAAATCCCTTAAAGAAGAAAGGAAAAAGAAAAAAGCCTTTCTTAGTGGCTTTTATTGAAAACTAAAATATCATAATTAGAAGTGCATCCTCTGACTCACAGATTGCTCTTACTGGAAAATTCAAGGGCAGGATTAATGCAAATATGTCTCTGCCCTGATAGCTTTACCTTCGGATGTTACTGAGTTTATTGGATTCCTGTTCTGAGGTCACAGCTGATAGAGGGGAAGGGATAAAAAGGGTGCAGAGCTACTAAAGCCCACAGCAGGAGGGAACACGGGAGGACAAAGTGACTAAACGGTGACAGCCTGCCGACAACACAGTCCCACCTGTGCAGCGCCCTCCTTCCTCCCAGGACAGCCGTCTCCAGGTCAGAGAGAGCCCTGGACCTGCACCAGGGTCGATTCTAGCTTTGACAGGCAAGTGCTACCACAGGAAAATCTGACAAGTGTCTGTGTGGCTGGGATCATGTCAGCATCGGGTGCTCTTGTTGGAAGGGACTATGTCTTTAAAATGCGGAAAAAAGTCCCAACGTACAACTACATAGTGCAAAAAAACCCAACCAGCCGGGAGGCGAATGTGATGTGAAGTCATATTTCTCTCTTCTCCTGTAAGCACTATTTCTTCTGGAGCTCTGGCCCCACTGTCAAGCTGCAGACAAAGGGGGAGTTCTTCACTCTTGAGGCCTTGTGGCAGGCGCGATTGGGCTGGTGGGATTTGGTTTGAACTCCAGGCCAACACCTCTCTGCAGGACAAACCCAAGTTTCTTCCAGATGAGTGTTTCCACAGTTCCACGAGTGGAAAATTGTTTCATGGCAAGGAAATGAGTACAGCCCTTTCAGCAACTGTTGAAGTCAGAGCTGGTAGGATGATTTTATTCCCACTTGACCAGTGTGTGTTTAGTGGGAGAACTGGTCAACCATGTGCAAATAATAGCGCTTCTAAGGTATGGGGCATCCTCTGTACTTTTAAAAGTACACCTGTATACGATAAAAAAAAAAAAAGTACACCTGTATAAACCTTACTGAATTTATTCAACAAAAAAACGTAATTTCCTCAAAGTCAAACCTGAGTTAGAAGTTCAAAATTTCAAGAACATATAAAGTCTCTGTGAAATTACAAATAAATACAAAGTTTAATGGCACGTCGGAAACAGGTTCATGTAGTAGCTTTTCCCTTTAAAAAAAAATCAATTTTAAAATACTTAGAACTACATTCCTCTTAGTTAAGTATCACAAAAATGGAAAAGCAAGTATCCAATGTACTCAATACTAATACGAAGCTGGTAGATGACCCAATACAGGCCCACATAAGAGAAAAACTCAATTCAATTCAAGATGGGGGGAGGGAGGAAAGACAAGGGGAAGGAGGGAAGGTGGGAAGGAGGGAAGGAGGGAGGGGATGGGTGATTGGTGAGCTCCCACTTAATGAGCACAATGTGAGGGTACATGGCACACCTCTTGGGTGCAAGACACAAGTACAAGAGGGACTCCACCTAACAAATACAGAACCTAAATTGTACCTTCACATTAATCTAAAATAAAAAACAAAATAAAATAATACTTGGAACTGATTTAAAATGCCATCATTCATGTATGGTTGCTGTGCATACATGATATACGGGAGCTCGCTCTGGAAAGCTGGTGGCTGTTTATGTAACAGCCTCCTCCTCCTTCCTCACTAGCAGAATCCCCATATCATTTGCATGTCCACTCCTTCTGCATGTGATTCAGAGTCCAAACAAATCCGTCTAAAGCCCGGGCTCGCTTCATCTCCCATGCCAGTGATTAGTTTAGGGGTGGGTAATTAGTTCAGATCTGGCCAAGAAGATATGAGAGGAAGTCTTCTGGGGATTGCTAGAAAAGTTTCCTCTCTCTCTAAAAAGAGAAATCCAGTAACACAGTCCCATTCTTCTACAGTCCATAGCATAATCTTGGGTCTACAAAGGATGCTTTGAGACAATGAGGGGAGATAACCAATCCCTTTCAGCGCCTTGAGAGAATGGAGAGCAGAAAGAAGGAATCTACCTACTCAAGCCAATTGATTAATCTTCTCTGGAACATCTACCTCTGAATTCCTTGTCATAGGAGAGAACAAATATCTTCATTGTTTAAGATCCTTCATCCAGAGTTTTCTATTACATGGAACTTGGATAATTCCTAAGATGCATCATAAATACCCATATATAGTTGGGTACATTATTTCAGTTAAAAAACTATGCAATAAAATAAAGCATCTCTAATTTGTGCTAAGCTCAACACTCTAATTAGAAATTGCTCAACAGTCCCCCTTTGATTCAACAAGGAGGGGGTGATATCTGCAGAATATCTGTGTTTTTGTACTTTATAAATGATTCTAAAAATTAAGATAAACTATTCTAAAAGAATCTTATCCTTTTAAATTACTCCCTTATTTGTTAATCCATAATTCAGGAAGTAGACAAAATTAAAATTTTGAATCTCTGCATCTATACACATCAAAGGTGTGTTCTCTAGTTACATGGATAAATCAAGAAGTGAAATGCTACTTTTTCCATAGCAATTTTAGAAGGATGATGAAATAGACAGCTTCGTGCATTGCAGTAGGAGAAACTAAACGGAACATGTTTGATTTACCTGTCGCTAACAGGAAACTTTGGTTAGGAGCATGGTAGTAGATAAGCGGGGAACTGGCCAGTTTGTTATTTGATTGAAATTCAAGTTAGTCATCTTTGGAACCAGGTTCTGACTCCACTCTTTCTCACTCCCGTTGAAATCATTTACACTTTCCTTTGTTTCCGAATTATCTGCCTTCAGCTGCCAGGGAAAGTTTGTTTATATTTCTCTAAAACCAAAGCTTTAAGGTCACTTCCTACCATTAATTCTCTGTGACCAAGTGTCACTTGGGGCATTTCCTGTTCCTATTCTCAATAATGCTGAGGAAGAGAAATTCTCAGTGGCCTCTCATTTTTAGCCCTCCACAGCAATCTTCAAATATGTGATGCCATGTTATTCATTTCTTACTGGTCAGTGAGAATTTTGATAGAAAAGTGTTCACACGATGTCTCCAGTGTAGATTTAAGACAGTAGAACCTCCACAAGTTGACCACCCAAGGGACTGCAAGAAACTGGTCAACATACAGAGGTGGTCAACATAAGGATCCAGGCCTACTGCATTGATACGTACATGTGGTGCATGTCGAGTCTGTGAAAATTGGGTTAGCTTAAAGAGATGGTCCATGTAAGGAGGTGGTCAACTAAGGAGGTTTTGGTTTGTGTTCCCTGCTGGGACTCTATCTGCAGAATGGGCAGCTGGGACTCTATCTACAGAATGGGCATCCTAGTATTTTCTTCCATCATTGGAAACCGTGAGGTGGAGTATAGATTGCTTAAAAATCAATGCAAGTAAATACTAGCTATGAATATCAAGAACCAATCATTTTGGTCATCCTCCTTCTGAACTAAAACCAGTAAAAATGTAGATTCAATTGAGAACATTTAATTAAGTAAAAATAGTTTTAATCATTGGTACCTTTGCAACAAAGGAATAATCAGTTAATACAGTGATGATTTTCACTTTCTGATCAGTTATACCAAGATCAAAAGGTGAAAGCTTATTGAAATTTTCCAATAAATATATATGAATAACTTTCAATATCTGATCACATTTGACATAATTACAAAAAGAAAAATCTTTTAAAAGTTCTGATTTGATGCTGCTCAGATAGAAGTGATTCTGCTGGCCAGAGGCTGCTTCTCTCACAGTCCGGAGCTACGCATCCTCTTTGCATTTGCAGCGGAGGCCGAGCCCTATGGCACCAGAGGACCTCAGAAGCCACGTCAAAGCCCCATAGTGAAGCCGGGACTGCTTTCATTCAGACCCAGCAGCTGCACGCAGCCACGGCCGACACATTCCTGGAGCACATGTACCGCCTGGACAGCAACTCACCACCCATCACAGCCTGGAACATGGGCATCATCTGCACCATTGGCCCAGCATCTCCGTCAGTGGACGTGTTGAAGGAGATGATGAAGTCTGGAATGAATGTGGCTCATGTACTTCTGGAATGAATGTGGCTCGAACTTCTCGCATGGAACTCATGGGTACCATGCAGAAACCATCAAGAACGTGCGCATAGCCACAGAAAGCTTTGCCTGACCCCATTCTCTACTGGCCAGTTGCTGTGGCTCTGGACACAAAAGGACCTGAGATTCGAACTGGGCTCATCAAGGGCAGTGGCACTATGGAGGTGGAGCTGAAGAAAGGAGCCACATTGGACAACGCCTGCATGGAGAAGTGTGATGAGAACATCTTGTGGCTGGACTACAAGAACATCTGCAAAGTGGTGGAGGTGGGCAGCAAGATCCATGTGGATGATGGACTTATTTCCCTGCTGGTGAAGCAGAAAGGTGGTGACTTCCTGGTGACAGAGGTGGAAAATGGTGGCTCCTTGGGCAGCAAGAAGGGTGTAAACCTTCCAGGGGCTGCTGTGGACCTGCCTGCTATATCAGAAAAGGACATCCAGGACCTGAAGTTTGGGGTAGAGCAGGATGTAGATGTGGTGCTTGCATCTTTCATCTGCAAGGCATCTGATGTCCATGAAATCAGGAAGGTCCTGGGAGTGAAAGGAAAGAACATCAAGATAATCAGCAAAATTGAGAATCTTGAGGGAGTTCAGAGATTTGACGAGATCCTGGAGGCCAGTGATGGTATCATGGTGGGTCATGGTGACCTAGGCATTGAGATTCCTGCAGAGAAGGACTTCCTTGCTCAGAAGATGACGATTGGGCAGTGCAACTGAGCTGGGAAGGCTGTCATCTGTGCCACACAGATGCTGGAGAGCATGATCAAGAAGCCTCGCCCCACCCGGGCAGAGGGCAGCCATGTGGCCAATGCAGTCCTAGACAGAGCTGACTGCATCATGCTGTCTGGAGAAATAGCCAAAGGGGACTACCCTCTGGAAGCTGTTCGCATGCAGCACCTAATTGCCCATGAGGCAGAGGCTGCCATCTACCACTTGCAATTATTTGAGGAACTCCGCTACCTGGCACCCATTACCAGTGACCCCACAGAAGCTGCTGCCGTAGGCGCTGTAGAGGCCTCCTTCAAGTGCTGCAGTGGGGCCATAATCGTCCTCATCAAGTCTGGCAGGTCAGCTCACCAGGTGGCCAGATACCGCCCACATGCCCTCATCATTACTGTGACATGGAATCCCCAGACAGCTTGCCAGGCCCACCTATACCATGGCATATTCCTGTCTTATGCAAGGACCCAGTTCAGGAAGCCTGGGCTGAGGATGTGGACCTCCGGGTGAACTTGGCCATGAATGTTGGAAAGGCCCAAGGCTTCGTCGGGAAATGTGGTCATTGTGCTGACCAGGTGGTGCCCTGGCTCTGGCTTCACCAATGCCACATGTGCAGTGCCTGTGCCGTGATGGACCCCAGGAGCCCCTCTTTCAGCCCCTCTCCTATTCCCTTCCCCTGACCCACCTATTAGGCCAGCAACGCTGGTAGAGCTCACTCTGGGTTACAGTGTGGCACTGGGGGGCTGGAACACCAGGGAGAAGATAATGCCGCTGTGAAACAAGGCTGTTTGTAGACTTTCTTCGGGTGAGGTAGCCCTGAGCCTGGCTTGCCCATCATTTGGCCCCACCCAAGCAAGGGACAAAGGAGGAATGCAAGACTGGAAGCCCCAGAGCCTATGGCAAGAGGGCAACAGCTCCCTCTCCCTTGTGTTCTTGGTTTCTCCTTTCTGCGGAAAATGGATGCCCAGAGAACTCCCAGCCCTGGCCTGGGGTCAGGAGACAGCCAGCAAGAGTAGAGGCCTTAGGGCATGGGGCAGTGGTTCCAGTTGAAGCAGCCTCTGGCCCTTATGTGCTTCCCCAGATCCATGGCCTCCCCTACTCCCACCTCGTGCGCTGTGCTCTCCTGTCCTGCACTCTGCTCACCTTTTGCTGCAGACATGATTCCACCCTCACTTTCCTCCATTTTCCCTTCTACTGCAGCTGCCTCTGGGCATGTTGCTATAGAGCCCACCTGTCTGTCAATAAACATCAGCTGAAGCAGAAAAAAAGAAGTAATTCTGCTCTACACTACAAAGGTTCAGGCTGTTTCAGCAGCACATGCACAAGTGACCTGTGGAATGGGAAATTATCCACTCTTATGTTTTATTTTCATTCAAAATGGATATTTTTACACACTCTATGAAGCTATCTTTTTCACAGACTACCTGTGTAAAGACTCATGTGAGGAAACCATAAAATATCAGGGAAGAATATAAAAGTCAATTAAGATTAATGGAAAAAACAAACATTATATTCCTAAAGGGGAAAATATTCCACAGGAAATTTGACAACATTATGTTTAAATTTATCAGAAAAACTAAACTGGCACAAACAGTGAAGCAAATTCTGAAATGGTAAAAGAGAGGAAAAGAGGGAAGACTTACCTTATAGATAATGAAGGCATATTCTAAAGCTATAATAGTTCAAGCAGTATGGTACTAGTGCAAGAGTAGACCTAAGTCAATTGAAAACACGTGCACACACTGTATAAATGCAGGAACAATCAAAACCATCCTGCACATCACACAGCAAAAGGAATCCAAGACGTAAAAGGGTATTAAACAGAATATAGGGACCATGAAAGACGGGGAAGAAAATATGGTTAAAATATGTCTGATATTGGAGTCCAGAAGCTCTCCTGGGCATAAAGGCGAAAAATTATTAATACATTTAAAAAATGGATGTATATGACTGCACGTGAACATAAAAAAGAATTCTGAACAAACTAAGAAGGTCAACAGCAGTGAAGCCGTTTTGGAAAATACGATAAAAGGAGTTAAAGTTTACTAGAGCCATCTTCCCAATTAATTAAGATGAACTCAGTCCTCACCGCCATCACAGAAATATGGGTAAAGGCAATTCACCAAAGAGGAATTACATAAATGGCAATAAATATGAAAAAAATATTGCTCGACCTCAGTGATATTCAAACAAACACAGATTAAAACCACCACAGTATATACTTATACCAAGCATTTGAAATTTGGAGTCCACATACAGCTGTTCAATGTAATCACATCCAACCACTACAACTTCTTTCCCGTGAATTAAGTGTAAGGGAAAATGCTCACGACAGATTGCAATTCAGAAAGTATCTTTCAAAACAGTTTGTGTTGAGTGTCATTGTTCAAAACTATGGGCTTATATATAAATATATGCATAGAAAAATAGTTGAAGGCTTACAGGTGCGATCTCCAGGTGGTGGGAAATCAGGTTATTTTATTTACATTTCTTTTTTAAGGTTTTCTGTATTTATCTTTTATTTTATTAATCAAAAAAACAGTAACAGTCGACGGCCCCTGTGGGGTCTGATTTCCAGCTCTTGCCTGCACTGGCTTGCCCAGAAGTGACCCCTTGAGGACATTTGGACCCCTGTTTTGCCTGATTCAGACCCAGCCTTGCTCACAGGGTCCAACTACCACCGGCTTTATGTCCCTCCTTGGACGCATACAGAGAGAATTATCAGAGCCTTTCTGTAAGACACGAGAGTTGTCGAATCTATGAAAACGAAGCAGTAAAATTTGACACACCACCTAAACATAAGTGGTGCTAACATCCAGTTTAAAATAACTTCTGTCCCTCAGATGAGGGCACAGCACATGGTTAACACAGAACTTTCCCCGATGGCTGCTGTTATTCCCACATTTCTCAAATGTTTTTACTTGGACTTTTTAAAAATAAACCATACCATTGGGCTTTATGTGCTTATATGGCAAAGCTGCTCCCTGCGATACCGTCACGGGGCTAAAGCATAAAATCTAGTTAAGCGTTCTTGCCAAAACATGAATCAGTTGCAGCAGAATATTCTGCACTCTGTTCTTCTTTTTTTCCATTCTCTAATATTTCTTCACATCACAGCCCAAACAATTGCTCATAATTAAACTAAGCGGAGAAACAGGCCCTGGCAGGAAATGTACTTGGCAGAAACCCAATCGCCTCCATTGTCTTCCACACACAATTACATCAGTTCCTTCCATTCCCAAAGAGCGAACGGGTTTCGCAGAGCAACAGCTGAAAATCAGAGGAAGGAGGCCGCTGATTTACATATTTCTAATCAGGTTAATAGATAATCTTTTTATGGGAAAAGGAAATGCCTTGAAGAATTAAATGATCCTTTGGAGAACCTGCTTTCACTTCCTCCGGGAGCTACACCACATGTTGACCACAACCCCTGCTCACCAGTTACTCATGTCTGCTGAAAAACCACCAGGTTCAAAGGCAAAGCCAGCCAAGAAGCGTGATGTGTTCCAGAGTCTGGAAGCTTCAAGAGAAGTTAAATGCCATCATGTTGCTGTTTGAAAAGTTAAAAATGTATCATCACTCAGTTGTTCAGCATCTGCTATTTATTCAGTATTCACCGCGGATCCCAGGGCAGAAAGAGGATTTAGAATCTAATTTTGTACACCAAGACAGGGCAAGATAAGAGATGTCTTCTGAGTTGTTTGGCTTCAGCTTGTTCGAATGACAGAATTGGAGCCAAAGTCTGCTGCACCCCAACCACGGATGCTTTATCAGCCTAAGGGCAGGCCGGGAGAGTCAGGCAGGGAGCCAAGGCCAAGAGCGGTCAGCCTCCAGGCCTCACTGTTCCAGGCCTTTCCTCTTCTGCCTGTTACCAGCTCTTTGCAGCCTGGAACTTACAGGGTTCCCTAAGAAAAGGTCAACTGGGATAGAAGGGCCTGTTTCCACAAACCCAAGAAATACCAGAGATATTCAGAATCTGTAGTTCAGCCTCCAAGTTACATAGACAGGTGAACAATAGCTCCACAGGAGTGTCTCAGCCACTCAGGGGAGATAAGCCTCTCTTTGGATGACCCCATATTACACTTCCCATTCAGCCATTGCTTGAATGCCTTGCCCCCCCCCCCATTGATTTCTCCTGGGCAAAACCCCTAAATGCCACCAGAGAAGGGAACACGATGAGACAAGTGGAAACAGTGCCCCATATCCACACCTGCTTCCCTGCTCCATGAAGCTGTGGTGAGTCCCTTTGTCACTGGGTTGAACCCATAAAACGGGAGAGCAGGGGAGCCTGGGTGGAGGGCACCCGGCAACAAGGGTTCTTCCTAGGAAATGCAGGACGGTTCCAAAGTGGTCAATCCTCTAGAGCAGGGTTTTTCAACCCTTTTTCTCTCACAGCACACTTGAACCCATAAACATCCATGGCACACTTAAATTACATTGATCAAAAAAAGAAGAAGAATATAGTTACTGTGCTTTGAACTTCTTTCAAAAATCATTTAGTTAATGATCTTTACAATTTTATGCAGCACAACTATGATCCCCCCACACTGGCTGAAAATCACTGCTCCAGAGAATAAATCTTTGAGGTGTGTCCTACACCAGAAAACTAATTCCAGGGGGCTGGACATATGCCAGTTCCTGGAGGGGAAATGTTCGGCCCCTACTCATGTGCTTACAAATGGATCTTGTACAAATCTACAAATTTTAGAGACAGTCAAAATGGACACCCTGACCCCACAATTGGACACAGAGCACAGGTTTCCTGTTCTCTCCAGCTGGAAGTAATAGTCTGTACAATACAGGAGACAGGAGCAAAATTAGAGAAAATGTAGAGAATTTGATCTAAGGGAGGCTTTACACGGGACAAGGCAGAGAGCAGCCCACAAGGCTGGCTGACAGGCATGGCCGTCCTCTCCTCCTCGCCCGGGCTTGTCCACGTGCCAACACGTCGAGAGTATTCAGAAAGTATTAGCAGAATGAACTCAGTGAAAAATTCCCCAGTAAAGAAGCAAGAATATGATTTCCACACTAATAATGAAAGCAGCGCCATATAAGGCAGGAGTCGCTTGTTTACAAGTGACAGGCTCAACGCAAGAGGAAATTTGTAACTTGAGCCAAAGGGAAATTTATGAGCTTACATAAACAGGCCAGAGTCAAAAAAAAAAAAAACAACTCAGGCACCTCTAGATTCAGAAGCCTCAATAATAACATCATCTGGGCTTTGTCTGTCTCTCCAGACCTTGGCTTTTCCTACTTCTTTATGTTGGCTGATTTCTGCAGACCAGTTTTCCCAGGAATCTGGAAGGTGGCTGTTGTCATGGTACTGGTCATTCCTTTGTTTGGGGGCATTTGGAAGTCCTCTCTATGTTCAGGGAATTTCCCACCTCATAAGTCTTGGTGGGGCACGTGCCCTCCTGATATAGAAGCCGAAAATGTCAGATGCTTCATTTTCCAAACTCCTCTGCAGCTGGGGTTCAGGCCTGTAACACAGACTACCCCACCCAGACACGGCCTTTCTAAATTTGGAAGCAAAAGCAAGGGGAAAAAACGAAAAAAACAGAAAGAAAGAAAAAAGGACAGGAACTTCGAAGCCTCCTTCATGGCCAGTCCTGATTCCCAGGGCAGCGGCG